GACTTGAATCTGGACTGGGCCGGGCTGTTTCCTTAATATACAATTATTCTTGGATATAAAACTCTCTTTTACACACTTATGAGTGCCTCTGGATTTCTCTAGTCAACCCAGACTAACACAAGCTGTATCATCTATAGCTGTATATCGAGAGTTTATATATATGCATATAATAGCTTTGCAGGCTTTGGTTCTCTGGAGAACCTAGTCCAAGACCAGGCCCATAACCATGAGTGTGGCCGGTGACATCTGTGACCATGGCAGTGAAAGATCAGGCCCAACAGGGAAATAGAGAGGGCTGGCTGTGGGAGGGACCGCTGGTGTCAGACAGGTAGTGGTTGGAGTGGACATTATCTGATCTTCACCTCGTAAGAATCAGCCTTGTGCTCCTGTCGATCCTTCTCCCCACTTAAGACGTTAGGGCAGCAGGTCTCCACCTTCCTCATGCCGTGACCTTTCATACAGCTCCTCAGGTGGTGGGGACCCCCAACCATAACATTATTTTCGTTGCTACTTCATCCCTGTCATTTTGCTATGTGATGAATCCGGCGACCCCTGTGAAAGGGTCATTTGGCCCTCAAAGGGGTCACGACCCACAGGCTGAGAACCACTGCAGTAGAGGATCGAGATCATTTTCCCGATCTCGCTTTGCACTCGCCGGAACCTGCAGTCAACTGGTGAGCAACACTGGTGAGAGTGGATTTCTGCCCGTTCTTAGGGGTCAAGTGTTCCTCTACTGAGTATGATGTTAGCTCCAGGGTTTTTGTCAATGCACTTCATTAAACTGAAGACGCTGGCTGATATTTATTCTTTGTCACAGGTTTTTATTGGGAATATGTGCTGGAATCTGTGATCTTTTGTGGATGTTGCTATCATATGATTTGTTTATTTTTTAATTGAGGCAATGGGATTTTTCCTTCTTAGTTTGCTAATACTGTGAATTACCCTTAATATGCTGATAGGTTTTCAACTTTACAATTCTCACAAGAAGCTAGGTGCTATCCTGATCTTTGTCTATATATGTCTTTTTTCCTCTGGTTACTTTTAAGATTTTTCCCCCTTTATCACTAGTTTTGAGCAATTTGCTTTTGATATGCATTCATGTAGTTTACTTCGTGTTTCTTGTGCTTAGGGTTCATTGCATGTGGATTCAATGATTTGTAATTGTCACCAAATTTTAGAAAATGTTGAACATTACATTTTCAAATAGTTCTTCTGCCGTCCCTTCTCCTTCAGGAAGTCCACATATATTATGTTGTTTGAAGTTGTCCAACAGCTCATTAATGCTCTGTTCATTTTTTAAAAATGATTGTTTCATTTTGGATACTTTCTATTGCTAGATCAAGTTCACGAATCTTTTCCCCAGTGATGTCTAACCTGCTGCTGATGCAGCACCATCTCGTCATCTCACACATTGTTTTCAGCTACATTTTATTTGTGTCTTTTTCAGACCTGCCATGACTAACTTTTTGAGCATGCAGAATGGCAGCTGTTTTAATGTCCTTGCCTGCCAAGTCTAACATCTGAGTCCATTCTAGATATGTTTTAGCTGGTTGATGTTTCTCCTTATTATTGGCCATATCACCCTGCCTCTTTATAGGCCTGGTAGCTTTGGATTTGATGTCAAATACTGTGGATTTTACCTTGTTGGATGCTAGATAGTTTTGTATTCCTGTAAATAATCTTGACCTTTGCTATGGAATGCAATTACATTCTTGAGAAAAAGTTGGACCCTTTCAAGTCTTTCAAGATTTACTAAACAGGACCAGAGCAGGATTTCATCTAGGACTAACTAGTTCCCCACTATTGAGGCAAGCTAGACGGTCTGTCTGTGTGCTGTACCCCAATGCTTCATGAATCCCAGAATTGTCCAGTCAGTCGTGTGGGACCTGGGCCTTCTCCAGACCCCATGTCAGCACTGGACACATTTCTAATCCATGGGTGGTTCTTTTCAAAGTTTTGAGTGAGTTTCCTACATATGTGTGCTGATTGGAATCCAGCTGAATACTCAGGGGGACTCCAGGGGCTCTCCTTTCTAGCAGCCCATCCTGAAAACTAGCCACCAGGGTGTCCCCCCCGTCTGGCTCTAGCTCGTTCACTGTGAGTCTGCCAGGCTCTGTCGGAGGCCACCTCACTGCCTAGAAATTCTCGTCACTACACTTGGATCCTCTTGTTTATTGTCCATTCTCTGGTATCACGGTCCTTCACAGACAGATGTCAAGTGTCTTGAAAACCAATCTTTCAAATATTTGATCTGGTCTCTGTTATTCCACATTGACTGGGCCTCTATTCATCACTTCATTCTGCTATTTTCCTCTTTTGTGATTTAGAAGCTAAATAGCCTTTTGTGATTTAGAAGCTAAATCATCTTCAAGTTCACATGTAACACATGGGTTAAGTTCACATGGTTTGATTTACGTGTAATCAGACCAGGAACCCTCTCACAATGAAAATATGTATATTAAAGCCTTGCTCTTCATAATGAGAAATTTGTCATGTCTTATCTCCTGGGTGCTCAAAATTATCATTTGAAAATTACCCTTCATCTGAACTCATCAAGTACTCCTTACATAGTTACATTGTCATCCTAACAAGGAGAAACTGATCTTAGCTGTAGATGCATCTGGTTTTGATTAAATGGTAACTCCTTTCATCCTGTGTATTTCCCAGTCCTGAGTCTCACTCTCCAGATTAAAGCTGGTTCAGATGTGTGGGTCCCTAGCCACAAGCCTGCAGAGCAGGGGGAGACGTCTGCTCGTGATGGTTACATGCTGTCAGAATAGAGACCGCACAGTCTATGTGGCAGGGGTGGGATTCATAAGGACTTGCCTGGCTTCCTTTTTTTGTACTTATTAAGAGAGCCCCGCCTTAGCTGGAGCCATGCAATTCTTCTCTGGTCCTTGTCAGGGTCTGAATGCTGAAGCATCCTCTACCCACAGCCTAACTTCTCTTTATTTGTTGCTGGGCACCGTAGAGCTGGTTTCTGACTCGTAGCAACAACAGAACAAAATACACCATCCTCAAAATTGCTCATGTTGGCACCCCTTTGCTGCCGCCACTGTGTCCATCCATCAACACTGGGCTTCTTACCTGAGGGAAGGGGAGCGGGAAAGGACAGGACGGGTTCTTTCCTCTGTTCTCTCCCTTACTCTCTCCCCTAATGTCGTGTCCACATCCCTTACTCTCTGGGGTCGGGGGCTTAGCTCTCCTGAGCATCTGCTTCTCGCCCAACTCACCCTTCCCGTGCCCGCTGGCAAATCTGCTCTTGCTGCTTCCCTGTGGGCACAAGTCTCCACCCCAACCCCTCTGACTCCATCTTCCTCCAGGAGTCTGTTTTCCAATCTACGATGCCTTCCTCCTTTCCCATTCAGGAAGCAACCTTGGTGGGATAGCATTGGGTGAGAGGCATTGGGCTGCTAACCCCAAAGTCAGCGGTTCAAATCCACCAGCTACTCCCTGGTTGGAAGCTGAGGAAGGTGTCTGGTTCAGAAGCCTCAAGGTGCAATTGTACTCAGTCCTGTAGGGTTGCTGACTCGGAACAGACTCAATGGCCTTGGGCTTGGTTTGGGGTTCCCGGTCAGAGTTTAATTGCACACATGTTCGTGGGTAAGCGTTTTTGTGTGGTTTAAGGTTCCTGGCATCCGCTGCGTCTGGGCGTGGGTAGGAAAGGGAGGTTGACAGACAGGTCGCACACTGGGAAGCTCAGCACGTTAGGTTTACTAGGGCAATGCCTGCGGAAGAGGCCACAGCACGTACATACAGAAACCCCCCCGGCAGGTCCCCTCCCCGGCTACACAGACATCACAGCAGCGCAGGGGCTCAGGAAGAGGCTTTGGAGAGTTCTCTCGAAAAATCACAGGGCAGCTTTGGTGCTCAGAGATTCAAACTGAAAACGATACAAAACCAAACCATAAATATATGTGTGTGTGTATAAAATTGCAAAATCAAAGCCCAAGTGACTAGCCATCGTCAACTCGGCACGCCAGTGGCTCAGAGAGGGTCAGCGTGGGGAGGCAGAGCTGTGTGGGGATGAAGCACGGTCCGGGGCGCTGGCATGGCAGGGGCGGGGCGTTTGTACATGGAGCCCTCTGTGCGACCTCGCGACACGCGGCAAGGCTGAACACAATGGATAAGTGCAGACGGGAAGTAGGATTCCCTTGTGACGACCGTCAGACACAAGCCGTCTCACCAGAACCATCCGCCTAGGCCCGTCAGGCAACCGCAGCCCAGCCTTCTCCTGGGAGACGCTGGGACTAGACGAGGCAGCGCACGGTTTCAAAGTGAGGCGATGCACACCGACCGAACAACCACACAGAGAAAGACCACGAAGACATGCGGTGGAGTCGAAAGACGGGGTCGGGTTTCCCCAAAGAGGTGTGTCTTAAAAGGGGCTTGGATGGGCTGCTAAGTGTGGCCCCTCTGTCCTTGGGCCAACCGTGGCCTCCTGGATCTGTTCTGAATTTTCTTTCTTTACGGGAAGGGCTGGCCTTCAGGCTTCTGAAAGCCATACAGGATGATTTGCTGGTGGGAGAATGATTTCCAATTTCTCTACAGATATTTTCCCACCACCCCCGGAACCCCCTGCAACTCTTTCCTAACAGGATTTAGACAGAGACAGGCCCTGGGCGGTGTGAATGTTGAACGCGCTCAGCTGTGCACCAGAGGTTGGAGGTTGGAGCCCATGCAGGGGTGCCTCGGAAGAAAGCCTGGTGATCTTGTTCCCTCTGCTCGCACCCCAGGGGGTCATCAAGGGTTGGCGTTGACTCCCCAGCTAGACATTCATTCAGAAATAAGGGGCTGACCCCGCCAGTGGGCCTCCTGCTGTTGCTTGGGACGCAGTGGGTGAGGATAGGAACCCCGGGGCACTGACCACCCCAGGAGTGGTTCCAAGACCCTCTCCTGTGTCCACAGTGGGGGGCACTCCTCCTCCAGCGGCAGGTCCCCATGTGTGCTACCCAATGTGAGAAGCTAGATGGGGCCAAGTGTGCCTGGCTGGAGGCCTCCCCTGCCCTCACTCTGTGTAAAGCGTTAAATGGTCCCGCCCAGTGGAGACATGACATCCCACGGGGGCTGGAATCGGGAGAGAACAGATTCTCCCGGGACCTCTGAGTCTCCTCGGACCCTGCATCTGACTGCCCTGGCGCTAGGGTGCTGAGGGGAAGCGAGCGCGTTTCCTGTTTGCTCACGGAACCTACGACGACTGCACCAACTCACGCACTTCTGCTGACCCGTCGAGGCCACCGAATTCACACTTGTGCAAATGCCCGCCGTACAGGCTGGGGACATCTGCGTGGCTGCCTAGCCCTGCGCACCCACACTCGATGTCCATCTTTCAGGGTCTCGGAGGGGAAGTGGGCTGATGGGTGGGTGGCTCTTTTAAATCCACTGCGGACAAGGCCGTGGCTTTGTAGAACAGCTCGGCCCCGCCTGCAGTGTGGCCCGTCTCTCACAGCAGTGCTGGGTCAAGGTCTGGCCTCGCTCTAGGAATGAATGGCACGGCATCAGGGGGAGAGCTTCCAAGCCGAGATCTAACTTCGTGGCATTAGGGCAATGATTTAAAGGGCTGTGTGGAAGGAATCTGGCGCCTCATCCAAATTTCCCCAAGTAATTTGTGGGTAGGCAGGGTAAGGGTCGCATCATAAGCACTAGGTGTACCCGAGGGCATCACCTGGCTGTCGGCAGACAGGAGGGTACTTACAGAGCCCTCACTGGCTGCCAGGTTGTCTCCTGGCAACGCCTATTTCAGATTGGGGAAAAGTCCCGTGGTGTGGATGCTTCCCTCACACCACTGCTGGGTACAGCACCAGGTCCGAGAGAGAATGATTAGAGCCAGGCTTCTCTCTCTACAACCACCTCCGCCTCTGCCCGTCTCCTCAGGGGACAGACTTGGAGACCTGGCTCCTTACTGCCCAGCTCAGCCTGCCAGAGTGCAGCTTTGGAGCGGAGTGGTTCCGTGTTCCTGGCCCGGTCCCGTTGCATATCCAAGCACAATGGCTTTTCTAGAAATGAACCCACTGCCCACTGAGTCCAAGCTCCCCTCCAGCCCTCTGCTCCAGACCGACACTGGCCAAAGCTTGCAGCCCCCTTCTATCTGGAGCCAAAGAAAGGGACCCCTCCCCTCGTCCTAACAGCCTGTGGTTTTGTTGGGATTGTTATCGCCTTCAACAGCCCTGGGCTTGGCGGGTGTCCTCAAGCCCGGGCCGAGGCACAACGCCCCCTTCATACACATGCACAAGTTAACAGACCCGCTCAACAATCCTACATCGAGATAAAACAGAACCAGACGCAGTGTACGACACACGAACTCTGAATACTCCCATCACTGTGCCAAGATCTCATCTTCAGATGCTTCATCCAAAGAATTTTAAGGAGACAAATTCCGTGTCTGTGCTGGACACCACTTGCTATCAAGTACCCAGTCACAGCAGGCCGGCCGTTCGTCTAAGATGTCTTCTGACTGCTGCTTCAGAAAGGCCTCGGTGTGTGGGGCCCATGCCTCCAGCTCAGCCCCTTCTAGTTCTTTCTCCAGTCACCCAGGAGCCTTTTCTAAAAGGGCCGGTTTGGTTGGGTCTGCCCCGAATCCAAGCCCTCGGCAGCCCCAAACCCTCCACGCAATAAAGGCCGGCTGCTCTGCCAGCCCTGCCAGCCTTCGACACCAACCGCCGCCCTGCCTCACCCCCACACTCGGGCAACACTGACCTGCTCTGTGGACCACGTCATGGCATTTCACGTGTCCCTGCCTGAGCACACGCTCTTCCCTCATCGCGAAACAGCCTGGCTTCCTCTTGTTTGGAAACTTGTAACAGCCATCACATTTTGTGGGACATTTTCGCCAGCCCCTGGCCCATGACCCAAACTTAATGGCTGCTTTTTGAGAGCCTGCACAGTGGACAAGTGGAGGACTGTAAGATGGGCCCTGTGGCATAAACCCCAAGGGTGATACTCCAGCAAGGTCCCGGCCATCTCACCTGCAGGAGGAAGTCATCTGTTGACAACAGTCAATCACTGTCATTCCTGTCTACAACAGACTTAAACACAAACAGCTGCATCACGGACTGTGTCCATGCCACACTTCCATGACACCACCCGCTAGTCTAGTCACGATTGGATTCACGTCAGCATACAGCTGACCCTTAAGGGATGCTTGACACACACTGAGGATGAGAGGATGCAGACGAAACCTGGATTTCAGAGAAGGCATCAAGGGTTGGCTTTTAAAGGCATTTCCCCCACCGCCGCGCAGGTTTGGGGAGGACTGGCCCTGGGGCTGTCCCATCAGGGAGTGGGGCGGAGAAAGAAGGGGGGGCTTGGGGCCACCGTTGGGGATGTGTGTGAGAGAGAAAGAGAGAACTGAGTTTGCCCTCATCATATGTCAGTTTCCTTTCTTTCTAAGAAAGAGCCCAACAATGGGTGATGGTTCTAGTCCTGGGCCCGCCACACCCGCTTAACCAGGAATGTGGCGTGCACGGAGGAGAGCGAGCACAGGGCGTGTCCCCCTCCTAAACCGCTGACATGACGCAGAGACGACCAGCCCTGGGAAAGGGAACAACCTTCGGGATGAGCTTTAAGATCACAGGCTCTGGAGTCAAATCCGTGCTCTGGCTTGAGTTAGCCATGCCAGGCAAGCGGTGATGCTTTCTGAGGCCCCAGTTTCCTCCCCATCAAATGGGAACAGTTGTGCCCCCTGACGGGGTTGGTGGTGGTGGTGGTGGGGTGTGTGTTAAGAGATACAGTGACTGTTGAGCCTGCACAGGTAGAGCAAATGGTACAAAAAAGAAAACTATGATTAAGAGCTTTCAAAAATACTTTTACAATACTCAGCACAAAGGGCGGGGGGAATATTCTTTTGACGACACTGTGCTTTAAAGGGGATGGATTGTCTATGTTTTAGGAGCCGACGGTGCTTGCCCGTCAGGGCCTGGGGAGTGATAAGGGAAGGTAGCAGTGGCACATCAAACCAAAGCTGCGGCTACCACCAGGCCCCGGGAGGGGCAGCCAGGGACAGGGGTATGTCTCTGCTAGCTGGTCCAAGGGTCCGTCTCTGATCCTCCACTGCAGGTCCCAGAGCCAGAGCCAAAACCCCAAAGTAGCCAGCAACAAGAGGACACTAGTTCTCTCTGAAAGCAAATGGTTCTGGGTTTGAGGGGCGGGCCGGTGACACCTGATGGAAGGGCAGGAGCCCCAGGGCTCGGGGTCATGCAAAGCTGGAAAGGTCTAGCCTCCTCGAGCTGTTTTGATCTTCCCCCAATTTCAACTTTGTTTAGCGGTAAATTTCCTTCTTGTTCTGAAGGGCCTGAGATGCACACTTGGAATGGGTTATGTGCCTACGCTCCTGGCCTCTTACATCAATGAAGCCACCACCGGCCCTTGGTCTGACTCGCCCTTCCCTTTTGCCTGCCAGCCCTTCCAAGACTTCCATCTGTCATTCAAGAGGCTCCATATAAAAGCTCAGGGGCGGTGGGTGGGGAAGAACAAGCTAAGCCATCAGCCCTTGGGGACAAAGAGTAACTTCTGTAGTAGGGATCAGTTTGTATGGTGACTTGGAATAGCGGGGCAGGACCCTAAATGGAAAAGAGCAGACTTTTCTGAACATGGGGCTCTCTCTCCCCTGCCTGGAGCTGGGATTCTCAGAAGGAGTCTTGCTCCGGGGAAGCCTCCCCCACTCTGACTCAGCCTGAGCCTGTGAGCGTGTGCCCATTTCTGGCCTCCGTGCTCTGGGCTCAGATGAATGGGCAGCATCCTCCCAAAGGCGGCCTACAACTAGGCAGTGTTGTGTATTGGGAAGAGCCCTGGACTGGGACTCAGGAGACTGAATTCCAGTGCAGGCTCCACTAACCAGCTGTGTGGCCTTGGGCCTGCTACCCAGTTTCTCCAGGGCCGTTGTAAAATGAGGGGTTGGCCAGGTGATCGCTAAATTCCCCCTCAGAGGGTAATCTGGGGGTCTGATTTTACCCCTCCTTGGCCCTGTGTTTCCAGGGACAGAGATGGGAGGGGGGAAGGGGAAGAGAGAGAGGATACAGATGGGAGCCAGTGGGGACCACCCATCAGGACTCCACTTTCTCCTTCTTTTTGCTCTTTTTCAGGAAGGATGGGGTTCGGAATTTCTTTTTCTTCTTCGAGGGAGACTTGGAAGGCGAGCCCTCTGGGGACATGGGGCCGCTGGTGACCGACTCGGTTTTGTCCTTGGACGTGTCGATGTCAGTGTCGGCGTTGGTGGTCATCTGGCTCAAGCCCTTGCTGAGGGTCTCCTCCGCGGTCTGCTCATCCTCCCTCCCATTGACCACCACCTCCTCTGGCTGGGTTGGCTCGGGCTTTGTGGGGGATTTGCTTGTTTCCGTCTTAGCACCTGGTAGGGAAATATAAAAAAGCAAGAGCCTTATTCAGGGGGCTGGCTTTCACCTGAGGCTAACAGGTGACTCTGTAAAGCAAGTCTGGGGTGAAGGGGGGACAGGGGGCGCTGAGCAGGGCTCCCGGAGACAGTGGGGGACTGGGTGTGCAGCCAAACCCTGCAGCCCCTTCCACCTGGCCTGCCCCAGGTCAGCCGCCCAAGATTTGTGTCTACAGATTTACATAGACACTGATGCCCAAACACAGCTGGGGGCTCATCTGGGGACCCAACTCAGAGCTTTTTGAGGTTCAGTCAGAGGGAAGAGACACAGGGGAGGAGAGAGGCTGCAGGAAGGGGGAGCAGTGCCATGGGGTCTCAACAGTGGGCTCTGAGCACAGTTGGTTCTAAGTGGTCCAGTTTCACCAGTGGAGGGAGAGAAGGTGGGTGTTTCCAGGCCTTTTCATTTGCTCCATGGGGTGAGGCTTTGGGGGACACGGCCCAGCAGATGGGAGTCCCTGAGGGCCGTGAGCTATAGTGTTGGAGCC